AATGAAAATGGAAAGTGTTATTGTGAGGGGAAGATTATGCGGGGGTGGAGACCAGAGAATAATGGCTGAAAATGATCAACTGCTGAATCTTTTTTCAGAGAAAACATCTGCCAGGGCAGTGTATGTTGAGAGTCCAACTGCATTGTTAGGTGCGGTTAAAACTCGAAATATATCTCCAGTAACAATATTCAGAGGTGATCTTGAACTTGGGTCCAAGATGAAGATTAAGGTGAAGTCTTTGATTTATCATTAAAGATATTTTTGGATGTTATAATATATTCTCTTTGCTTATTCATTTTTCATTTTAAATATGTTTGATGCTTTAGATTGAGCTGATGTGAATGTTCCCTTATTTTACCTCTCGGTAAATTTTTGTGAGATTCACTAATCAAGTCTACAACTGAACCGGGTCATCTAAACCTCTCTGCTCCGTGGGAGCATATGAGAGGTCCAAGGTTTCTGATTTACGTTTATGGTGTGTGTTGATTGTTGGATGCAGCACAGCTTTACTATAGTAGACAATAACTTGTCATCTTAAATGGCTAATATTAGCTATGAAGCGTCTGGGTCAGTAACAGTTTTATGGTGTTAGTGAAGCATGTAAGGGAAGCTGGATGATTGCCAGTGTCTCTAGCAGCATTAACTAGGCAATTAACCCAAACCAAGAGGTATCAACCCCATTTAGGCTAACATAGTAGTTTCTGTCCTCATCAGGGTTATATGTATTTAGCAGCCAAGTGAGTTCTGTAAAAACAATTACTAGTTGGAGGCAGAGTCTTTTCCTCGTGTCTACATTGATCAAACTCATTGAAACCTCCACAGGCTTGAATTTGATTGAAGTACTGATTAAACACTGGGCTGATGCTTTTTTTGCGTTGTCCTGCCACAAACCACGGACACATGCTACTCCCGGTGTTCAACACCAATATGCCTGGAATCCATGGCATTCTAGGCCCATGGGGCAGTCCACTAACCTCTGTAAGAATCCTGTTTTGAGTGAAAGAGGTGGTTACACAGGCTTTAGCTTATACTGGCAATGGCTATCTTTTGTGCTGCATGACAATTCTGTATGGTTTTTGTCGAGTCAAAATCTTACTCTAAATTGGACATGAAAGAAATCATGCCATTTAAGTGGCCATGTGGCATTAGCTCGCTCTTGTTGCCTGCGGTTTGAATCCTAATCTGATTCAGTTTCTGTCAACTTAACTTTCTCATGATCTATGTTTGGGAAGTTCTTTTTTTTTTTTATGTTCAATTCTAGTGTATACTAGTACTGCAAGCTGCATTTTTAGAATATAAACTTGGAGGTTTATTATGTTCATATTATCTGTGAGTAGGTGTGGGTCTACAAAAAAACCTCGGAGGAGAAATTTCCCACTCTGAAGAAATATTCTGATAAAGCGCCTCCAAGTGACAGATTTGCGACGCATGAAGTCAAAGTAGATTATGAGTACAAAAGTGTGGAAGATCCTAATAAGGTTGTTCCTCCAGAACAAAGAATTAAGGGTTACAGATACGGACCACAAGTTGTTCCAGTATCATCTGCTGAGTGGGATGCTGTCAAATTCAAACCAGAAAAAAGTGTGAAGCTTCTAGGATTTACTGATGCTTCAAACATAATGCGGTAAAGAATCACTGCTTTGTATAGTTCGGTGGGTTAAAATAAAAACTGTCTAATATTTTTATTTTGTGCTGACATGCATGTAATCAAAAGGCACTACTACATGAAAGATGTCAACGTCTTTATTCCTGAACCAGGCAATGCAAGGGCTGCTCTTGCAGTTTCTGCTTTAGCTAGAGCAATGAAGGAAATGAATAAGGTTGCAATTTTGCGATGTGTCTGGAGACAAGGACAAGGGAGTGTTGTTGTGGGGGTTTTGACACCCAACATATCTGAGAAAGACAGCACTGTAGGTTTTAGTACATGTTTTGGTGCCTCAGCATCACATTGTTTAACTCTGCACCTTGCTTTTGTTTGTTGTTTTTAGTTTAGTTACCATAGTGAATTGCTTTCTGGTTTGCTGGGCAGCCTGATTCATTTTACTTCAATGTGCTTCCTTTTGCCGAGGATGTCCGGGAATTTCAATTTCCATCTTTCAGCAGTTTCCCAGTTTCATGGCAGCCGAATGAGCAGCAGCAAGAGGCCGCAGATAACCTTGTAAAGATGCTTGATCTTGCACCATCTGCCAAACAGGAAGCTCTACTGCCTGATTTCACACCAAATCCTGTTTTGGAGGTAAGAGGCTGCCTATATTTTGTGTACATGATGTAGTTCTGTTTAGCAAATGTTAATCTTTTCGAGTAAATCCTCAAGATGCTTATTATATGAGAGCTAAAATGAAAAAATAGAGCATTTGAAACATGACCTGTCATGTGATTTCTCATGTGTGTTTCTGCAATTTTCATTTTATACGAGCACCTTCATGATTTGTTTAGCTTTGTTAAACAAGACACCCAGTGCCTGTACGTTGAATTACTGTCAATTGCCCCACCCTGCTCTCCTGCGCAGGTGGTGGTAACTTTCTGACTGAAACTGATGGCAGTGTTCTGTTTCTCAGCGGTTTTATCGTCATCTTGAATTAAAGTCAAAGCATCCAGATGCAGCTGTGCCTCCACTGGATGAAACTCTCAAAACAATAACTGAAGCTGATCCAGATCTTCTTTCTGAAAAGAAAAATGTAATTGATGCATTTTTTAAGAGCTTTGAACTCAAGGAAAATCCAAGGGTGGGTATTTTTGAGAACTTCCATTACAAGAATAGCGTCATAATGTTGCCAAGCTAATCGTGGGCATTGATTAAGTTGATCTTGATTGCAGCTAAAGAAATCAAGCAAGCGGTTATTGGAGAAAAAACCCTCTGGTTCTGATGAGGATTATCAAGAGACAACCAATGCTCTAGCTATCAACCCTGTTAAGGTTGAAAAAATTGGGGATTCAAGTCCAGTTCAAGATTTTGAAGCAATGATGTCACGCAGAGATAGTCCAGATTGGGTTAGTAAAGCAATTCAGGATATGAAAAATAAAATATATAGCCTGGTTGAGAATTCCTATGATGGGGATAATCACGGTAAAGCATTGGAATGTCTACTTGCCCTTCGCAAAGGTTGCATCCTTGAGCAAGTAGGTCTTTTATATCTTCTAGATGTTTTAGTTTCCAAATTGGTATACCTATGATTTTTATGATTTATGTCTATAATTAGTGTTAATTACTCATCCTTTTAGAATTTCTCTATGGCTGCAACTCTGGTGCTGCTTTGACCCAGCCCATTATATTTCATAACTGATGTTTGTTTACTTTACCGTGCATCATTTGAGGTTCCAAGTGTATTTGCCTCTTAGTATAATCAAGTGATTTTGGAAACTATTTTAGGGGTTATTGATATGCTGCTTCCGAGCAACCATCCCTGTCTTGTGATTTGGTTTTACCTTCTTGAGATAAAAGCTTGTCATGTAGTCTAAATTTCAGTAGAACTTGCATGTGGAAAACAGAAACATTGATCCAATCATTTTGACAGCCTGTGATATCTACTGCTGGTTTTTCTGTTTGCTCGATAGTTATGTGAATTATCGACTTCAAGCACTTTGCTGGATGAAGAAGTATTATATTTTCATATCTATCTACATTTTACTTGACTTAGCACAGGCAACTGCCGGGGTGTTGTGGTGATTTACCCGTCCTAGGCTAAGTTAATCATTTGGACTATCAGGCTAAATCAAGAATAGCTGGTTAATTTTGAAACTTCCATGCAGGAACCTAAACAGTTCAATGATTTCCTTCACCATCTTTTCAATGTCGGCCAAGAGAAAAAGCTTCGCAATTTCTGTGAATCCCTCATACCCAAAGGACTCACTTTGATTTCAAAGTCAGAAGCCATAGACAGGTTTCCTTCTAATTTCATCTATTATTTATTTACGATTGTTAAGAACTCGTAATAATCTCGTGTTTCTATGTTTTGTTTCTCTAAGCAGTGAGGTTACAGATGATGAAGCTAGAAACTTTCTGGTTAAAAAAGAGCTGAAATTTGAGTGAGAACGAGACTTAATGTAAAGTTTGATTCCTTGGGGTCATGTTGTATTTTGATGATTCAAGGTATATGACTAGAATCATATGCGTGTATAGGGTCATCTAAATCTTAAAATACCGGGGGGTTGATGTATGAATTTCCTCTAAAACCTCCATTTTAGAAGCTGGCTTGACTATGGGAAGCCTTGTTTATAAATTAACCATGCCATTTTGTTATGTTGATGGCTACTTAGGATTCCTTACTCGAAATGTTCTTGTAATTTGCAAGCTATACAGAGTTCCTACTAAAACTGAGTGAGATAAGACACACCCTTTATGCTTCCATTTCCCGTTCCTACTAAAACTGATTATGGTAGCTCCAGTGGTTGATTTCAAAACTGAAAAATTACTAGATTATTCGTCATGGGAGTTTTAAATTGACAATAATTAAATAAGAATAGTTCAACAAATAAAGAAATGCTAATTTATTGGAAAAAAAAATGAAATTTACACTTGAAAAGACCGCTCGTTATTGAGATTAATATGAATTCATGTCTTTTCAGTATTTTTTTAACATTAATATATTAAAATTATTTAAAAACATTTTAAAAAATTAATTTGATATTTTTTAGAGTAAAAATAATTTTAAAAAGATTATAATTAAAAAAAAACACTCACAATGTGATTTTTCATGCTTATTTATCTCTTGTTCTAATATTAGTGTTTTTTTAAGAATGTGTTAAAAATTATTTTTCAAGGTGATTATATCTGGAAATATATTTTTAATATTAATATATCAAAAAAATAAAAATTTGAAAAACATGAATATACTGCAATGAAAAAAAAAAAACCCTTAAATTACAAGGAAAACAAACCAGAAACACAATTTGAAAACATCCATCACAGCAGAGCACAACATGTGGTGACTGAAGCTAACACCATATCCCATGATGACGTGGCACAACCAACTGACTTTTGTCTGGCAATTGACTTCTCTTCAACTGTGAAAGCAAAGGATTCTCTACTTCCAATAAAAAAAGTTCTCACCATTCTGAACAGTACTTTTTTTTTTTTTAATGGAACAGCTCAACAACCAGAACCAGGTAATTAACCTTTCTTTGTCTAATGCGTACACCTTTCTATAAAATCTTTTCTTAAAAGTCTGTTTGACTTACCAGAGAGACACTATGAATTCATCACCAGAACTAGTCTTGTATAATTTCTCGCACAGCTCCTGTTCATGGCGGGTCCGCTTCGCTTTAAACCTTAAAGGTATCATTTGCTACGTTTATATTGATCGACTTTTGTTAATCATTTCTGAAAAATGGAACTGTTCAGGACTGGATTATGAGTATAAAGCAGTCAACCTTGCAAAAGGAGAGCAGTTTAGTACAGGTGAGGTTGGAAGATTTCATATACTTAGCTTACCTAGAATATGATTTTAGATTCGTACTGGTACAAGGTCCAGGTAGTGAGGATCGATGAATGTTATCTCTGTTGCAGAGTTTGAAAAATTGAATCCTCTCCGTTATGTTCCAGTCTTGGTTGATGGTGATGTGGTAGTCTCCGACTCCTTAGCAATCTTGCTGGTCAGTGTTCTTTGCTCAGAAAGGATTTTATGCATACTGTAGCACTCTCGTTGCGGTTGCATTTTATGAAAATTAGACAAAGATCTACAGACATAAATCCATGATTTGGAGTGAGTGAATGAATAATGGCCTCCAGTTAATGTTGGGCTGTGTGAATTCATAAATCATGATAAATTAACTTTTGAGAGATCTTCGATGAATTTTCTTTTATGCCATATTTATTTTTGTGTCTATTCATAATTTTCTGTTGTAAATGGGTAGTATTTGGAAGAAAAGTATCCTCAGAGAGCTTTGCTGCCAGATGATCCTCGGCGAAAAGCTCTAAATCTCCAAGTAAGATTGTTGTCATTGCTTATTTTTTCATACGTGAAGTATCTGGAAAACATTGTATTAAGAATCTTCTTATGTAATGTGTTTTATAAGAGCAACAGTCCTGAACTTGTGAATGGATTCAATGATCCCTTGCTTCTAACCTTCATCTATGGAAAAGTCTTTACAGCTGGAGCATACAGAACAAGCTAATCTGGGTTTTTTTAGCTATTATCTAAATGGTTTCATTTCCTTCTGAGTACAGAACGTGAATCAGACTACGCGGACATGCCAGTAGTTATTAACTAATTTTTCTTGTGTAACCATGCTAATTACAGTACATGTCACAGGTTGCCAGTGTCGTCTGCTCTAGCATACAACCTCTTCATATGTTGGCTTTGGTGGTACATGTATTAGTTTCAGTGGTTTATCCACGTTATTTTTAGTTTCATTCACACATATATCAACTATGCCATGTCTTAATTTTTGCGTAGAAAAGCATTGAAGAAAAAGTTGGTCCAGGAGAGGGATTATTATGGGCACAATCTAGTATTGAAAAAGGTTTTTTTGGTACGTAATTCTTCTCATCACGGAAGCAATCTAATTCCCTTTCCCTTTCTCTTTCCTTTCCCTTTCTTTTTGAGATAATTACCAAGCTTAGCTACACCCATGATAGTTGAAATCATTAAGAAAGATGAAACAATTGGGTATGAGTGGCCATACTTTTGCAGTGCATGAAATTTATAGCCTGTGGACGCAACCTTAGAGTCCATGAGGAATCAGATTGTAGAATTTTTTTGTTAGAGTTGTCGTTTGTGATCATTTATTAGCCTCTTCATGTCATGCTACTGTGTACTCCTTATTGCTCATGTAAAGTGTTTTTATTCTTTTCTACAGCACTTGAGAAGTTGGTAAAAGACTTTGCAACCAGCTTTGCCACTGGAGAAGCATTATACATGGTCTCTATTCAATACTTTGTTCACTGTTTCTTGCGCGGAACTTGATTTATTATATCTGAATGCTTCTACTAATTTTAATGGTCTTGCATTGTTAAGGCACCCTCTCTCCAAGACATTAATATATGTCGGTGTTGTGTGGCAGTTCACCTATCTAATTCATTGGTTCTTAGTCATTTGTTGATTCTTTTGGTTTTTTGCTCTGATTCAAAACCTTAACGATAGGACTGTGCAGAAATGATTTACTTTGAACCTAACAAAAGTTCTCAACTATGCAGAAAGTGTGATTTCTAATTGGCATGTTCCTGATGCTTATATATTTTAGAAGTATATATTGCTCTGATTAAATCAATGTTCTCAGAAAATAAGAGGAATTTAATGTTGATATTTCAAATCTGAAGCGCCTTGAAGACCAGACTAATTTCTTATTTTGTTTGCAGGCTGATGTGTTCTTGGCCCCACAGATTGCTACAGTTGTTATGAGGTTCAACATTGATATGGTAAAGCATTTCCCTTGATTATTATTATTATTTTTTATTTCCTTTAGGATTCGTTTCCAAACTAGTTCTATCATCATAATGTCCACACAGTGGAGCTCCTACTTCTTGGACACTACATACTGTACTGTAATTTTGCGCTGCTGTAGATACACGCTTCTCATGTTTGTGTTCATAAACCTGTTGTTTTTAATCCTTTAATAAAATGTGTTTCATACAAACACAGGAAGCATATGCATTGTGCCTAGTTTTTCTCTTGGAATAACTGAGAAAACCTAAAAAATCCTACTAAAGTCGGATATTGAAAGAAGAATTGGAGTCCAACAATCCTTCGCATAATTAACTTTTATTTTTGTGCTTATGATTCATAAGTTTCTGAATTCTCACCATGCATCAAATGGTTCATGCCATAAAATAAGAGGATTTTCATAAAGTTCTTAGCGTGTGATGTTCATATAAAATCTGAGAAGCTTCTCCATGGGTGGTGAAGCATATTTAGCATTTCTTTTCTCAACTGGTTTACAGGCTTTAAACATGAGACGAAGAGAGTTGGGATAGAAGGGATATGTCCCCTCTGTCCTTCCTGTTTTAGAAGGAAAAAACAAAAATCACTCAAAAACTATCCGAGGCACAAATTTATTTTTTATGTTTCTGTTTTCATCTCGGTCCTTTCAATCAAACATATTTCTGTCATTCTTGCATCCATCCCTTTTTCCACGAACACTAACCAAACGCAGTTGTAACAGCACGATGATGCAGTGACTGATAATATATACGTGTATTCTTGTGTTTATGGTTTTATCAAATTGCTATTATCTTGATTTCTTTCTCTTGATAAACAGCTGTGTGATTGTTTATGCAGTCCAACTTCCCTGTTTTAAGTAGGGTATATGAATCATACAAGACCGTACCGGAGTTCCGAGCTTCATCCCCGGAAGCACAGCCAGTTGCAGGGAGTTAAGTTTGTTATTTTTTTAAATGAATGTCAGCAAAGCTTTAGGTTCAAGAGTTCCAGCATAGCTATTGAGTTACTTCTTTCTTTTTTCCCCCTTTTATTTGATAAATAACTGGGTAAAATGAAAAATAAAATGTCTTATGCTTTCGTTATTTGCACTTTGGGGACCTATAGTTTCTTCTGGTTGCTTTTTTGCCCCTTGCGACAATTAACTTGCTAGATGGTGTCCTCAAACTTTTTATTTTTTCGAACACATCCTAATCCCTTAATTTTGAATGATAGAATCCGATAACTCTCAATGTTCTAATAAGCATTTATTGTATTTAATAATTTATCCACACTACATTTTTCATGATTCAATTATGTGCTGACAATGAAAAATCGAAAGTACTCGCAAGACCAAGATGGTGCATAGCTGAGAAAACTATAAGAACATTAAGACATGCATATCCAAGCTTCAGATTAAAATAACATAAACTTAATTAATCGTTATAAATTAATGGATTAGACTTAATTATGGATTAACATAGGAACACCAGGTACTAAAACAAGGAGGATTATAGAACCTTGGAATTGCTAATCAATATATAACCAACAAATTGCAAATGAATATATATAACCTGAATAAGATAGATGACGACAAAATATAGTAGCAAACACTAATCTTTTCTATTATATTCATTAATTACATGTTATCTGTTTGTTTTTGTGATGAAAAAATATTTTTTAAAAAAATTATTATTAAATTGTTATTATGTTGTGTTTTAAATGAATTTTTTTTATGTTTTTTTATTGCTTTGATGTATTAATATTAAAATTATTATTTTAATATATTATAAAAAATATTTTAAAAAATAATAATTGTTATACAATTTTGTTTATTTGTGTCAGTTTTTCATACGCAATTTTGAAAAGGCGGGGCTAAATAATACGTACAAACAAATGAGTTTATATTTTAAATGAGTTCAAGACATGTAGAATTAGTTACACACACACACACATATATATATATATATGATGATTTTATAATTAGATGATAATCTTATTATTATTATTTTAAAAGAAGATAATTATAATAAAGATTGGACATACTTTTTGTTAATTCATATTTTAAATTTTGAAATTTTGAATTTTATGGATTAAAGATATGGAGATGAAGCAATGCATTTCACAGCATATAAAAGCTTAATTGGAAGAAGGTTACAAGAGGTTAATCTAGGTTCGAGTCTAATAATGACTCTTTAGAGATGTAATATTTGCTTTGTACATGGTACGCCTTCCCTCCATTGAAATTTTTTGTTCTTGTTTATTTTTCATAGCTTAATTAATTCGGTGACGGGTTAAATTTCTTAAATTTTTTTATTAATGTAAATGTTTAAATAAAATTTCATGTATTTTAATTAATTTTATAAATTTTAAAATTAATAACTATATAATTTTTTAATAGCTCAAAAATATATAAAATTTAAACGGGTGACACCCAGAAAGGAAGACCCACCAAAGTTTAATGTCAGTAATTAAATATTTTTTAATATATATATATTTTAATCCTCGCTGAAAAATGATTAGTTAAATAGCTAAAGCAATAGCTAAGTTTCATGAAAAATACCGGTGGAGCGGAGGCGGAGCTACGTGGAAACCGTCAAATGGAAGAAGGCAAGACGCGCCAAAGTTTAATATCATCCTTATACTTGTTTATATTTTCAATTATATTCTAAATATTTGTTAATCAAGAGTTTGAAAGAGTAAATATGATATGAAATATGAACTTACCTATTTTCTAACTTAACGTGTATTAAAATCATTGTATACGAAAAAAAAGTGATAAACTGGTAATTTATTTTTCATTTAGACAATAGCACATTTTAATTGGAAGAATAAAAAAACAAACTAAAGAAATACATGTTGCTCTGTAGTGTGGTAGCCTCTATTTTTTATGTTTTAAAAAAATACATTTGATGTGAAAAAAATCAAATTAATGCTTTTTTTTAAGATTTACAATGATTTTGATTTTTTAACATTAATAAATAAATAAAATTATTTTGATATATTTTCAAGTGAAAAACATAAAAAAATAAAACACATATTAACCAATAAATAATAGCAATCTATTCCTATCAACTTTTTTATTTACTTCAAATTTACTAAAACTTATAATTTACTTTAAATTTACTAAAACTTATGGCATAACAAATAGATCTACACTTACTTGTTCTAGGGTATACATGTAAGCGGGTTAATGTAGTTTGGTCTAACGTGAGAGATATGGTCGAGGAGTAAGCCGTCAGGTGCTATGCCAACACTCACTTGGATTTTGTGTGTAAATGTTAATGGTGTGGGAACATCCTGTCCGGCTGGCCACTAGCTGGCGGTTTCTTGTATATGGCGCCAATATATTGATAGATAATTATTATTTTTTTCATTTAATATAGGGGTTTTTAGAGAGCTTGCTTGCAGCTCAATTAATTTTATTAATTCTAAAATTAATAATTATATAAATTTTTACTAATTATTATATAAATAATCATATGGTTAGAACATGAGGATAGATATTTTGTCAGCTCAACTTGCAAATTCTGCAACAGAAACGTTGGTTTATCCTCAACGAAATTGAGATTTCTTTTTCAGGGGAGATTGAAAGGGGAAAAAGGCTGCATAATGTGAATTATTTATGATAAATACAATTAAAATGAAAATATTTGATCATGAGATGATGGATTCGATTTTTTTAAAAAAATTTAAAACCTTATTATAGTGATTAAAATTTAAATTTAAAACCTTATTATAGTGATTAAAAAATCGAATGACGTCCACTTCTCATAAAAAGTGGTGCTAAACCTAATAATTCCCATAGAGAAAAATTAGTGCTTGTATTTGAGTCTGTTAATTTTCAAAGAATTTTGTTAAAGTCAATTAGCAATATTCCCTTTAGGTGTTTGTATGGCATGGAAAGAAAAAAAACGTGCCCTTTGTCGGGCATCTCGTGAATTTCCCACTTGATTAAACTCATATTATGTTGCTTAAAAAATTAATTAAAATGATTAAAAGAAACTTAAAAGAACTTTAGAAATTTACAGTGTCTAGAATAATTAAGGTCTATTTAAAAATAAAATAAAAAAGCACTTGAAATAAATAAAAAAATATAAATATGAGAGAGAAATCATAGATAAAAATATTTTTATCATTTTTTATATGTCATGAATTTTATTTTATTTTGTCCATCTTTGTGTTTTTTTTTTTAACTTATCTTAACCTAAATTAAAACTCACAAATATTTGTAACCATTCCATTTTCACAAAATGATACACACACACACACACACACACCCTCTACCACCATTAAAATTAATTTTTTGAGTTGAAAGGATTTCTGATAGTTCCGCGAACTCCTATTTATTCTGTTGTTTTCATCCATTCAATCATATTTCTCACCCTCTAATTAACAATGCTGCCTTACCAGAACATGCACCAAGCAGAGGCAGCTCTTGGCAGAGAGCTCACAATTGCAGAGAAACTATGGCTCAATTACTCAGCCAATAAACCTGATTACCTTCTTCATTATCATAACATTCTCTTCTTGATCCTCTTTTACTCTATAGCTCCTCTCCCATACATGTTTATTGAGCTAAGCCGGTCCAAGAGGATAGAAAAGCACAAGATTCAATCCAAAATCAAAAACTCATTCCAAGACATGCTGAAATGCTACAAAGATGTTATGCAAACTTTTATCGTTGTTGTTGGTCCTCTTCAAGTCTCTTCTTACCCTTTCATCAAGGTATATTAATACGTATATATGATTATAATGCAATTTTATTGAGAACTAAAAGAAATTTTAAGATTAACAAAGCTAACTACTTTGATTTTGTTCCAGCTGATTGGCATCCGAACTAGTCTGTCATTACCTTCAGGAGGGGAAATGTTCTGGCAGTTATTAGTGTATTTTCTGATAGAGGATTATACCGGTTATTGGGTTCATAGGTTGCTTCATTCCAAATGGGGCTATGAGAAAATCCACCATGTTCACCATGAATATAGTGCTCCAATGGGGTTCGCAGCGCCTTATGCACACTGGTCTGAAATTTTGATTCTTGGCATGCCTGCATTTCTTGGTCCTGCAGTAGTTCCTGGACACATTACTACTTACTGGCTATGGTTCGTTTTAAGACAAATGGAAGCTATAGAGACTCACAGCGGGTACACATGCTAAACTCTCTCGTTTATTTCAACTCCTCTTTCTGCCGGATTTTGTTGACAGATCCTGACTACACAGGTTTCTAGTAGTGGATCGATAATGGAGAGATTACAAATCCCTCTAATCTAAGTGGGGGGGAGGGGGGGGGGGCATTGGCATAATCTCCAAATTCGGGAGGGAGGGGGGGAGCATTGGCATAATCTCCAAATTCGGGAGGGTGCCTTGCAATTTAGCCCTTCATAAACACTAAACAGTAGGATGTAACATGTGGTTTTTCCTTGCATGATCTTAAGTTATGATGACTGATAATTATTAATTCATTTTTTATTGTCATCAAAAGTGTTTTACTTGCTTTTCTGTACTCAAAAGATGAATTAAGTCACCCGTAGCTTCAAGTCTTAATTTGGTGGCTTGACATGAGCACTTGAATCAAATACATAAAATGTTATTTGATGCAATGCAGATATGATTTTTCATGGAGTCCAACAAGATTTATACCATTCTACGGAGGTGCAAAGTACCATGATTATCATCATTACGTAGGTCGCCATAGCCAGAGTAATTTCGCTTCCGTTTTCACATACTGTGATTACCTTTATGGAACAGACAAGGTGAGTCCCATATTTGACAGCTGCGAATAGATTTTTTGTATGGACCAAACAATCATAAGGCCGTGGCTCGTCCGAACCAGATCTGGGTGATGTTTTTCTAAGATGCAATCACAAGTACATTTATCTTGTGTTTTATAATGGCTCTGATGCATGACTGAATTATTGTCAGGGCTATCGGTACCACAAGTCCATCCTCCGAAAGGTACCTCTCTAAGGCAACTTTGACTTCCAAGGGGACGTCGTTTTCTTGATGGGTAAAGGGTTATCATTGTCCTGAGAATGGGGTATCGAGACCCAACAAGTTATTATAGTGAAATTAATTATCTTGCTTACAGCTTACTCGTACAGGTAGGTTGAATTTATAGCAGATTGTTATGGCTAGCTAACTATTTTCATATTTTATTAGGTGAAGGAGATAGTGGGGACGAATGGAGGACATCGTGAGGGCAGCTATAATTCCATGCCTGCCCAGGATTTCAAATCCGAATAACTATGATATATCAGTAGGACGCAATATTTTGATCCAGTTTCTTTGTTATATTATTAGTATTTAAAAGTTGTAATGGTTTGTGAGGATGCAGTAGAGGCAAGTGCTAGGCATGGGATTGTACTCCAAAATATAAATGAATTGGTGAGCTATATCTAGCTTTTGGCCATTACTGTGAAAAAAATTCTGGCAAGGTAATTAAATTCCTCCCCGATGGATAGAGATCCGGGAGGAAAAAACATTCAATTTTTCATATTTTCATTTTATCTTTTAGGTTTCCAGCATTAATCATAGAAGCAGTGGGAGTGGGACTGACTCATATCCTCTGCCCTTGCTGCCTGTGCCCACAATAAAGGAAATTCGTAAATGATGGGTGCTTCTTGATCGCATTAATCGATTGATGAATTCAATGCGTGAATCCTGGATCACAAAAAATCAATCGATGAATTCGATTACTCCTGGCTTTTAAAAAAAAAAAAATGTTTGGAATGATATTCATCTGGCTTTTTTTAAAAAAAAAATGTTTGGAATGATATTCATGCGCTTGCAGGACATCTTCTCTGTTTTTGAAAAAAAAATGTTTAGAATGATATTCATGTGCTTGCGGGACATCTTCTCTACCTTTTTCAAAGCCGCCTCGACTTGCGTATGCCCTAAATTTATATGAAGAAACCCAACGCATCTTCGTGAGCCCGTCTAGCTCAGTCGGTAGAGCGCAAGGCTCTTAACTTTGTGGTCGTGGGTTCGAGCCCTACGGTGGGCGCTCTCTGTTTTTAGCTTCGAAAAACCCAATCTAAGAGCGGCAGGAGCTCGATCCACTTGCAAATGTAGTGGCATTTTGATCCCCAGGAAAACCCCCTCTAAGAGCGGAAACAGCAGGTTACAAGCGCAAGAGCTCGATCCATTTGCAAATGTAGTGGCATTTTGATCCCCAGATTTTTCCATCAAGGGTACTATTGTCTATTGATTGATTTAGTGCCATAAGAGAATCACGCATCCAAAGCCAAAACCATCATCTATTTCTTTATGGAACATTTTGTCACCAAAACTTTTCAGTCAGATCAGGCTACCTCAGCCATGCAACGATTAGTTTTTCTCAATTTAAAATTTCATACTTGTCCTGTGTGCCGCGTCCAAACACTCAGCTGGAAGGTTAGCTCTATTCGACTCTCTTTGAAGTGATTGGTGCAAATGAACCTGAACGGATTATACTGCAACTAAGGAGGCTATGGCTAATCAATGAGAACGTCAGGTCAATAACTCCCTGAATATGCTTTTTATCTATCAGTGGAATCCATTATGCTGATCGGAGTTGTGGAGCTGCCCATAACTTCACTTTCTTGTCAACACTGGCTGTGGCCAAAATGGACGTTTGTCCATCACCTGAAGAAGAACAAGTAGTTATAAATCATGTTGGTCAAGGAATCATTGGGAACTATTTCCTAACTCTCAAACCTTTCTTTATTCGTTCCTGGAGATACTCCCATAAAGAAAAGCGAAAAAAAATAAAGGATATACATAGCATAAGGTAATGAAAAAATGAACAGAAAAGCCACGAATGTTAAACCGTTTTTGTTTAATAAGCACCTGTTGGAATAGGCTTAGGCGCCCAGGCAATCCATGTGATGTCACCTGCATGACAAACTAGCATTAGTATAATATTCACCAAGAGATTACCCCATGCTTATATGCTACAAAAAATGCTAATAAGAGTGGAACCACTAGAAATACATTGAGAAAAAACAACTTCAATAACAATTTAACTCAAATGAATTCATTTGTCCAATTTCTCAAAACAAATGTCAGTGAGAATATAAAATCAGATTTCCAAATGAAAGCAGGATTTTTGGGCAATGGGGACAAATCTGCCATTGCATCAAGATCTCAATCACAGTATCCATAGCTGATTACTCATGCTAAGACAATAGATATAGTTAGGAAAGCAATATGATATTCTTACATTTTCAACCATTCTGGTGTATTTAGGAAAGCAATATGATGTTCTTACATTTTCAACCACTCTGCAGAAGAACAAACTAAAATAAAGCACAGAAATGGAACCAAAAGCATACCATCATGGGCTTTGTCAGCTGTGTCCAAAACTTTTCCCGTTTCAACACATAACCACTGCAGCATCGAACCATGGGTTGCAGCCAATATCCTTCCATCAGGGGATAAACTGAGACGATCATAATGCAAAGTTCCACCATTTGAATCATGAAGTGGAATCGGAAACACCTTTAAAGTCTTTGGATCCTCATCAAGATGATAACGAACTTGAAGGAAATAAAAGAGAACTCCTCAGTATGATCTTAATCATATAATAACCAACACAAAAATGCCACACAAATATATTGCAAAATGTATGTCAAAGTGAAAAATTAGAAACCCACAAATCTATTCCAGAACTCAAAAAATTAGACATGCGTTATGTTCTCATAGCATGATAACAGTCTCCCATTTTCCTTTTCTTTAGAGGAAGCTACAGAGAAACACAGTCCATGACACCACAAATTTTACTTTTTAAAACGTTGCAACGTAGTCATGAACCTCAATGTATTCAACAAAACTATAAAGCCTTTTGGTATATTCACAGCAGCAAGAAGAGCAAATATCCTGCTAGAGCATGAAAAGGACAGATGATCTGTAGATTGAAATGTGAAGCATCTACTAGATCGCCAAAGGATCAATTTTCATACTTGCAGACCATGACAAAAGAAGCATGCTTAAAGGCATGACATTCAGCATAGAGGTGAACTTGTCTTGATCCACAGATGAAAAACAACCCAACAAACAGATTCCAGTCATCGTGGTGCCAGTTTGGACTGTAAGATAATGGATGATATACATGTTGAATGCTTGATATAGAGGGGGTAAATATTAGCTTAGATACTTTGCAAGAACTTCAATAAAATATTGAAGCGGGAAGCAATTCTTGTTGTTGAAAAAACTGGAATGGTGTTCAGAGATTAGTTGTTCTATAGATTCTGCACAATGGAGTGCTATTTTAGATAAAATTGACATGACATCTAAAGATAATGCTTGCTCAGCCTGAAATGCTAGTTCATAATGCTCTTTGGTTTCCAATCATTCCCTGTAAATCATGCCTTGTCTCAATTCTGGACATTAAATCCAAAAATTGAGAAGCCCTTACCCTCCTATACCAATAATTGCACTGCCCTATTTTTTCAACTTTTCTAAGGTAGTCCTAATTCAAGCACATAGAGAAATGTCTATTAAAGGACATACCGTTGATGTTCCATATTCTTATTGAACCATCTTTGGAGGCTGTGATGATTTGCTCCGAGTCTGGAGTGAAGCATAACCATGTTACTGCACTCTGAACATCAAATTTAACTTGAGATGAGAAACAATAGGCATATCCAAGCTATATATGAGCATTTCTGAGGTGAGAAACAAAATAACAACTCCAGAAGTGCAATATAGTTCAAATGACAAGGCTAAAATATGATAAAAGAGATCATTCCATTTAGACGAGAATCGATATCAACAACCACAGACAGATTGAATATATCTACTAGGATAAACATTTATGGCATCATATCAGACAATAATTTAATCACTGTTACTAACATTTTTTCACTACTCAATGCACATCCACTTCAAAAAATTCAGCATTAATCCAATCATTGACTAGAGAAATATTACAGACATATCCATGAAGCTCACAAACAAAATAAAGAATGAGGGAATTTTGAGCACAGGGAAAAAAGATAGACAAAGAAAGCAAAGCTTGAACGAGATGTGGATGAAATAACAGAGGTCAATATTGCATAGAGTACATACTCTGTGGCCTTTAAGTTGCATGACTTTTGGAACCTCCTTGACAGAACCATCCTTTGAATACACAATCTCCCATACCTGACAAAGAAAATTAAAACCACCATAGCAATTCAATATTCAAATACTACCAGAATATTAAATTTAAAGCTTGCTATTATGATCCAAGCCTCTCAAAAATAACTTTTGTATAGCAGTTGCAAATGAAGATAATAGACTTGACCCATATGTGGTGACCAATAACAATGTTGTTTTAATTCATTAGAGGGAAGATAAATCTCTTGATGTGATCTGATATATTGACTCATAAGCAAACTTGTAAACAAGCCTAAACTAATAGCTTCTTAAGTTTATCAAAAAAAAAAAAAAATACTTTGCAGCAATAGAAACGAAGTCAACTGACTGAAGGCTTATGTTTATCGTATCATGTTCATATATATATGCACATTACATACTATCGAAATCTTTCTATGAAACTTTATGCACAAATGAGTTAACTAAATTGTTTTTGGAAAGTACCATGAGTGTCACAAGGGATGTTAGATTCTATGCCTGAGAATCTTCAACAAGATCCACTTTATCAAGAGTCACATCATATGGTGCATTGTTTGAATGAGTTTCTTTTGTTTTGCACAAGCTAGGGGTTTATATGACAGAGTCCAAACAAAATGCTTTTTCCAGTAATCAGAGATATTCACCTTCACATCTGCAGTAAAAGCTGCAGCAGCAATGAAACGCCCATTTGGGGATATAGTAGCCATGGTGTTTTTCAATTGATTTGTATCGACATTCCCCAAAACCTTTCCTGTCTTTCCATGCCAAATTTTGATATCAGTACCTGGAAAGTAGCATAGAAAATACACAATCAGCATTGCTTTCTGAAACCCAAGAAAGAAAAACAAATACAAAAGAAGTATGAATGGAAGTCGTTGGGTTTTTCTACTCCAGTTAATATCAGTTTGATAATTTAAAATCACAAATTCAACAGGTTATTCCTTAAGATTAATGATGATTTCCGGTGGCTATCATGTAATTAAAAAAAATCACAATATCATGTTCTCTTAGTAGTGGCTCGGTCACCAGAATCCACACCCGTGCACAGATGTCAGCGGTTGTCCGGTCCTTAATATATTTTTAAGGCAGCTAATCAGACAGAAATCCACAGTTTGGAAACTGATGGTTACATTCATGATAAAATCATGGAGTGTCATTTCTGAAAGCATGTGAGATGCAAGTGATGGACAATTAAGGTTAAATTATGGATGGATGGAACAGTTTTCAATGTGCAAGGCAAAAGAATAAAATTTGTTCCAAACATTACAAATCCAAAACAAAGTCAGAAACCACTAAAGTCAAATATCTGATAATTGTGTTTTTTCCTGACAATTAAATTTTATCTAACCATCCAGTCTCATATATGCAAAGACTCCACATCTGAGACATGC